TCACCTTAAAGTTCTGTAATACCAATTCACCTTAAAGTTCTGTAATACCAATTCACCTTAAAGTTCTGTAATACCAATTCACTTTATAGTTCTGGAATACCAATTCACTTTATAGTTCTGTAATACCAATTCATTTTATAGTTCTGTAATACAAATTCACCTTATAGTTCTGTAATACCAATTCACTTTATAGTTCTGTAATACCAATTCACCTTATAGTTCTGTAATACCAATTCACCTTATAGTTCTGTAATACCAATTCACCTTATAGTTCTGTAATACCAATTCACTTTATAGTTCTGTAATACCAATTCACTTTATAATTCTGGAATACCAATTCACTTTATAGTTCTGTAATACCAATTCATTTTATAGTTCTGTAATTTATAGTTCTGTAATACCAATTCATTTTATAGTTGTGGAATACCAATTCACCTTAAAATTCTGTAATGCCAATTCATTTTATAGTTCTGTAATACCAATTCACTTTATAGTTCGGTAATACCAATTCACTTTATAGTTCGGTAATACCAATTCACCTTAAAGTTCTGTAATACAAATTCACCTTAAAGTTCTGTAATACCAATTCATTTTATAGTTCTGTAATACCAATTCACCTTAAAGTTCTGTAATACCAATTGATTTTATAGTTCTGTAATACCAATTCATTTTATAGTTCTGTAATACCAATTCATTTTATAGTTCTGTAATTCCAATTCACTTTAAAGTTCTGTAATACCAATTCACCTTAAAGTTCTGGAATACCAATTCACTTTAAAGCCCACGTGCATTTTCAATATTCTCTAGTCGTATCCCGGATTGTCCATAAAACAATTCTTGTGAGGCCAGAGCTGTACGAACCCTGCCTGGAGCACGATACTGTAGCTGAATCAAAAGAAAATATTGTTTTCACTGTTGAGGTAAGTTTTCTCCTCTTCTCCAAATACAACTTTTCATCTCTTGTTTTGGTAAGCTATTATCCTTTGTATATACCTGAATGTGAGTAAATTATATTGAAAACCTTGGCCACAAAACTTCAGTAAACCTGGTATTTTTGGTGGAAGTTACTACACGACTATGAAATGGAAGTCGTCCCACGTGCTCCATCATAATGTGAATCATTACTTCGGGATACAAATGAAACAGTAGGACTACAGATAGTGGTAGCGTATACTTAGTGTTACAAAAAAAACAAGTCTATAACGCATAATGAATTTAAAATTGTATATTTCACATTTTTGTAATGTATTTGAGTTATCCATTTCAAACTGCCGTGTCATTGGTCTTGTCCTCCAATTACATTATCGGTTTCAAACCGTTATACTGTAAGTTTAGCCTCCTGTCTATAGGGTGGGTATGAGGCCTGACGTGGTCTAACGTTGGGCTTCAGTGCAGTGGTGCAAGGTTCGATATTGTGATATGTCGCTGATTGCGTCCCGCATACTTAACTGTGGACGCTTTATAAAATTAATCCCGCTATTAATCCCGTTTGGGCGGCTGTTCCTTCTAACTAGTTGCCTTCCTTCCTGTTAGTAGTTGTAAATAACGGCTATGCCGCTGATCAATCCGATTAGCCTTTTATCAATAAATTATGTTTGAAAATACCAAATAGTAATGCGTGGGACTAATAAAACTTCATATCTACGGTAACAAACGTACAACGGGTATATATAGAGGTCGCAGCGTACTAAGTTCGGTATATTGTGTAATTAATCCGGCTCTTTTTTTGTACTCGTATCGATTGTGGTATAGGTAACGGATTTCATATTCTAATATATAAACCTTTACGCTTGGCTGCTAATGTTAGTTAGGTTAGCTTATTCAAAATCACTGAATTACTCTTAACAACGTTACCATAGCAGCGACTGCAAACATGCTAGGGAAATTAGTTAGGGGAAAAGTGGATTCACAACGTTTACACACCAGGAAAATATCCAATCAACAAGAAGCGTGGGTAGGAAATTAACATAAATCACTCAGTAACGCGTCTTTCGCTCTTGAGATGAACATGTTATACTCGGTAAAAGCTTAACATTACGTTTTCTGGAAGTCATATATCTTGCGTTATCTTGAACTAACTATTTGAAATTTTTATTTTCAGTTTTCGTCGATATAACTTATTGTTATTATTCGCGTCTGAATTTAAAAGTGAACGTACATTGTATTTGTTTTGTTTTTTAACTGTAAACCTTACATAATTGCAAAAGTTTTATATATTTGAATTTAAAAAAATGCATACAACTTCACATCTTTTTATGACGAGTCACGTGGAGAATGTTAAAAAATATATTTTGAGCATTTTTCGTATTTTCACATTAAACTTTCATCATTGTCGTTCAATCTGAAAACTGTGCTGTTTACTCTTAGATAGCCCGCTTATTTTTAAATCGTTCATTACCTGTGGAGTCCACGTTTTGCGACATATTGAGTAATTTCATGTTTTTGCCTCTTACAACACTCACTGTAAAGAATTGACCAGAGAAGTGGACGAAAACCAGTCATCTGTAGAATTTGTAGGACTCCATCAGTGGTTAGTGTGATTAACTGCGATACTGATAGTATTTTTGTGTGAATCGTATGTAAAGGGACCTTGTAATAGAGAAAGACGTGTACCACAAAGGCCTTGGTGCACAAACAGTTTAACAAAATATGTTTAAACCTCCGATAGTATATGGACCCTCATCTGTAATTCTAAAGGTAAAATATTAATCAAGCTCAATTATACAGGCTTATATCGCCGCTGTGGGCACAAAGAAGTAAAGCCATTATACAGCTATGCGTTGAAATAAACAAACGGTATTGAAGATTTTTTTCATATGTTTATTACGGTATGCGTGTATATATGAGCGCATGTTTACTGTAGAATCAGTCTTCTTAGTATAAAATAAATCATGGTGGTTAGGGCGCTCAACTTGAAATATGTGGGTCGCAGGTTCGAGTCTCATCACCGAACTTCCTCGCCCTTTCGACCGTGGAGCCTTTATAATGGCTCCCCAGTGGCTCAGCGGTATGTCTATGGATTTACAAAGTGAAAAACCGGGTTTCTATACCCGTGGTGGGCACGCCACAGATAACCAAATTGTGTAGCTTTGCGCTATATTACAAAGAAACAAACCTTTGTAATGTGACATACTACTATCAAATATATAATATCTTTCGTCCATATCTCATGACAAAAGAAAAGAAAATCTTTTGGCAAGTCTGAATACTGTTTCGTCACATTTCGAATGACTGAATATATGGAACAGGTGGGTACTTCCTAAACAACTACATTTCAAAACTATTGGTAACATTTAGAATTACACTTACTGTTCGATTAGAGTATTCTAACAGTTAAAAATAGGTGGTATTCACTACCCACCTTTCCTCTAGTTTATCACATCTAAGTTAGGGACGGCAGATAGCTTTCGAGTAGCTTTGGGCGAAATTCGACAAACAGAAGTTCCAAAGAAATGGGTTCAATCAATGCTGAGTTATTTAGTATTTTGTAATAATGCCATGGTATTAGAGACTGTTAGAGCGCTACGTATTCTCTAGGGTTCCATTGTAATCGGAATTTTGCAAACTGTTTGTGGTTTGCCAGATTGATGATGATGCAAGAGAGCCACATTGTAAACAGCATTTTTCGTTCTGAGAAGATATACGTGTTTCACCAAGAAATAGTAGCTGGCCAAAATTAATCGTGGTGAGTAATGCTTTAAATTAGAGTTATAAATCTTGAATTATAACGAATAATGTAACAGATGAAGACTAGTATGTGGGCTAACTTCATATACCAGTCAACGTGTTCTTCTGTGTTCTGCTGGCTTCATATATCCACGTGTTTTCCTTATGTAAACTTATACCATGGTTACAGCTTGCATTATTTATTATCTTTTGACAGATATACGAACGTACATTTATTTAAAGTATTTTGAACAAAAAAATTGTCGTGACGATATCGAGTCGTTTTTAATGACTCTTTTTAGTTTTTGCACCAATCTAACATTTTTAAAGCAAATGAAAGTCAACATTGAAACACGTCTCCCGTGTAATGGAATTAGCTAAGTTTAAACCTCATTCATTGTATTACAAAGCCAGAAAATATTTAGGATGAAAGCAAATGTTAGAAGTTACGATCTGTTCAACTTAGACGATACCTCTGAATCTGACCAGATGAGAGGCAGTTGTGGTTGTTCAAAGTTGTCTTGATTGTTATGGTTAAAGTTCTATGCGCGTGGCAAGTGACAAACTAAGCATATAAAAAAGGTTTATACGTACGAAGAGGTTTTAAAGTTAAACGTTTTCAAACTGTAAATATTTTTAAGTAGTGTATTTACCCGTTAGGGATCAGGCCTCTGTTTAATTGTTATAGATGTTCATGATAAACTGATCAACTTAGTTTTAGTTATAAATGTAAATAATTATGCTCGTTAACAAACAATATTTGTACAAACATCTTAAACGTTCGAGGAGAGGTTTATTTCTTGATTTTCAAAGTTAGAGAAACAATTTAGTAAATTTATGTTTGTGCTTTGTGGACAGTATACTTTTATTACTTTATTTTTTAAACCGAATTTGACAAAGAATATTTGATCAAGTACTTGCTAATTTGTTTCCACGGTAATTTACATGCATGCGATCTTTATGATATATTTTAGAATAAAGAACAAGTTTTAAATGAATATATATATATATATATATATACGCACACACAAGCATATGCATTAGTTTACATCTCTCTCTCTGTAGGACATTATAGTACAATAGATGTATTTTTTACAGAATCTGCCAGCAGGTGATACAGTGTCAGAGATACGTATCATTTATAGAGATGATGCAAAATCGTGGGAAAACGTTTTGTTACAAGAATTTCAGATCATCAAGGACAGTAATGAAGTTGAAAGTGCTCCATTGGTCAGGTAGGTAGATGTTTGAATAGATTTTTTGTAGTACGACGAAGCTTCTCCATATAGTATCACATCTGAGGTAGATTTTATACTAACAAAATAACCTGTAATGAAGTTGAAAGTGCTCCATTGGTCAGGTAGGTAGATGTGTGAATAGATTTTTTGTAGTACGACGAAGCTTCTCCATATAGTATCACATCTGAGGTAGATTTTATACTAAGAAGATAACCTGGTTTTACAGCTATT